TAAGGATAGAACAAGAAGCAATGGGCTTAAACTGCAGCAAGGGAGGTGTAGGTTGGACATTAGGAAAAAGTTCCTAACTGTCAGGGTGGTTAGACACTGGAATAAACTGCCTAGGGAGGTTGTGGAATCTCTATCTCTGGAGATTATTTAAGAGTAGGTTAGATAAATGTCTATCAGGGATGGTCTAGACAGTATTTGGTCCTCCCATGAGGGCAGGGGACTGGACTCGATGACCTCTCGAGGTCCCTTCCAGTCCTAGAATCTATGAATTTTATCTATCAATATTATCCTTTCAGTGACATGCAATGCCTTCAAGTGTACTGCAAAACACAGCAAACTGTTCTATATTGTATATTAGTGTGTTTAATTTTGACACCATTGTCTTGAAAATTTAAGATGTTTACCTGATCCCACATCTTATGGTACTTCCCAGTTCATATAAATGGAATATTTTAACATTGAAAATTGAAACAGAAGTTGAAAATCAACAAAATACCAGTCTTTGAGTCAAAGCTCAATTTCTAACTTCTGTACACATAATAATAATACCTACCCCTAGATCTCAAAGCACTTTATAAATGTGGTCAGTATCACTATTAGATGGGAGAAACTGAGACACAGGGCAGCAAAGTGACTTACCCAGCAGGCTGGTTGTAGAGCCAGAAATAGGTTCCCTGAGTCCCACTCTAGTGTTGTAGCCACAAGGCCACATTGCTTACACTATAAATGTACTTTTAGAATAATTTAAAAATATCTGTGGTAAATATTCTTTTTCTTTGCAGGTTATTATGACAACACAATATTTCACAGAGTTGTGCCTGATTTTATAGTGCAAGGGGGAGATCCCACTGGTACTGGATCAGGTGGAGAGTCAATCTACGGGCTCCCCTTCAAGGTAGGTATCTGTATAGCTTGTTTTTAATTACTGTATATTCATTTGCAAGTGACTTTACTAATAGGAGAGATTTCTAAAACAAAGCTCACACAAGAAATTAATCTTTTCTCTTGTACAGTGATTGCTTGCACATCTTGTGTCTCCATTTTTGCATGTGCATTTTTGCATGCACAGTTCCAAAATCTGTCTGTATTGTACCCAGGGTACTAATATAATGTGTTAGCCTATTAGCAAAAACTGCATTAGGAAAAGTGAAAATAGGGTACAGTAAGAGGACATGAAGAAAAGAGAAAAGTGGAATCAAAAGGGTGAAATAAGTGTAAAATTGGGTGAGTTACTTAAATGTAAAAATATCACTGAAGTGATTTCAATGTTGTTCCTACTAGGTATTCAGTAGAGCAAAAAGAGATCAGAAAGCACCAGGTAAACTTGTGTGGAATATTACAATAAAAGAGGAGAGTCAACAGCTTTCAAATATCTTCATCTTCTCTTGCCCAGATTGCAATGACTGAATAATGCTTTCCAACACTTGTCGTACTAGTATTCTGGCAGCAGCAAATATTCAAAAGTATGAACAGATATTTGCACGTGCCAAACTTAGATACAGAAATATTCTTATACTCGTGCAAGTTTAGATCTAATGTTTACAGGTCCATGAACAGCCCTGTCTTAAACATATGCACACACAAGTTAAAAATAATAAAAATATAGGCCTGGAAGGGATTGCAAGAGGTCTTCTAGTCTGTTGCCCCCACACTGAGGCTAGACCAAGTTGGGCATGTGTAACTCTTCAGTGTAGTTTAGTATATTTCTAAAATTTGACACCCAGTCTCTTAATATTCATATTCTTCATATGTTAGAAGGTACCTTTAAAAACAGACTTCCCCTTTGTAGATGTTCTTCTGTTTTTATCTCGCTTAAGCATTGCATTGAAACAGAGGGTGCACTAGATATATGAAATTGGGCCAGAGAGAGGTTTTGTTGTATGATTTTGTGATCTGTTAGACAACACTGAAGTGGTTAATGCTATATGTTCAATTATTTTATCACGAGGAATGTTTATAGGCAAGGCCCTTTATACTATGTGTAAACCTGCATTGCTCTTTTCAACCCAGGACTCCGGTTCTTTTCTAACCTCAGGCTTCAAAGGAGATAGTTTCTCTTCTTGATTGCATGAACAAATAGATTTATACTACTAAACAGGGAACACATGTGATCAGTTGGCCAGACTTCTTTTTTTTTCCAAGTTAATATTAGCATGCAACTTTTGTTAATTTTTTGCGTGCTAACTCTGCATACAGTATTTTTTTGGAAATGATTCAGTTGCATAAAGTGAGTTTCAAGCTTTGTGTCCAACAAGGGCTACCACATGGAATCAGGGCTGAGCAGGATATTGTTACTGAGATGCCTCTGTGGTAGTTCAACAATGCAGCCACACTATTGGACAGATCTCCATGTGGTAGTGATTTCTTCCCATTCTGGTCTGTGATGGTGTTTACAGACCCCACACAAAGGCTAAGGTAGTGAGGGACCAGTCCCGGCAAGAGGACCCTGCCCCTCCGCAGCTGCAGAGCATGCTCCAAATAGAGAACCTACTTAAAAGGGGACTCTGACAGTCAAGCAGCCGTGGAGGGAGATTGAAGGCAAGGCTGTCTGGAGAGAGGAAGCCAGTTTCCAGCCTCTGGGACAGAATGGTCCAAAGGTCTGGACTGTGGGTAAGACCCAACTGGGAAGCCAGGGGTTTGACCCTTCTCTCCCCTAGAAGGGAGAATAACTGGACATTGAGAAGTGAGTTGGGAAGTACCCATTTGACTATTTAGGTTGTTGAGGCTGATTGGGAACTCTCTGCTAGGGAGGGGCAGAGTGCTGTAACCATGCCCCAGAGTGGGGAGGTAGGAAGTAGCCCAGGGGAAGTTGGTCTGGTGTATCAGCGAGAGGGGACTTAGACATCCTTGCACCTTTCCCTTTGGGCCCTGGACTAGACCTGGTTGAGAGGAAGGGCCCGGGTCCCCTACCTTCCCCTCCTCCTATTTGGCTGGGAAAACCCAGAGAGAACTGGGCAACGCTGGACTGTAACTCAGATTCCAGGCCCGCGGGCTGTCCAGCAAGGCCATCGTAGGACTTTGGGGATTCTTGAGCCACGGCTTCCCAGTCCACAAGTGAAGCCCTCTACATGATCAGGCAAATAGAAGAAAAATAGCCCCTTTGCAGGGTCCCAGTGCTTCTGCCAGCTTTGTAGTTGCACACAGATCCATTCCTGTCTCCCAGTTCAGCCTTATAAGACTCGGTCACAAAAAACAGCAGCTTCATACCCCTGCCCTACCCTTGGTCTTAGGGTGCATCTGTAAATCATGATCATGTAGTGAGTCACGTGTGGGTGGGCCCCTCGCTTGTGCAGAGCCCACATTGAAATGTGAGAGGGGGATGAGTGGTCTCATTTTCCTTCTACCAGGATTGATGGTTTGTATCTGATATTCTATTCTCTCTCTAATTTTGAGGACCCAAGATGACTTCTCTCACAAGAAATGACCTGAGAAGGAGTTGTCACAGAAGGCTTTAAATACAGGGTTTTCTTCTTTCAGATTGTTCTTAGTATTGGGGAAGTTTGCCTGCTTGTGTGTGCTTAGTTTTTCTTTTTGTCATGCTAGTTCTGTGTGCACTTATGTAAATCACAAGCACTATTTTTGCACATCTTTACATTTCCAGGATCTTTGTGTATAGTCAGGGTCTCCCTGGTTCTGTAAAGTTAGTACTTCACATAACAGCATATCGATTGGCTGTGTATTGTGCTATTGCTAACCTGTTGGGCTGGCTAAAAGAACAAGGAGACACAGGAGAAGTGTGTGTGTGGGAGGATTGTATATGATCTTGTATTTGAAGACTATCATAATGTGTATGCATTGGAGGGAGAATTAAGTTTGCATGGGCAACTTTTAATTTCCTGTCTTTACATAAACGCTGATCCTGGCTCCTTTTCTCATTCAGAGTAGTACCTTACAGTGGAAGTATTGTGTCTTGCCCAGCAAACAAGAAGTGGACCCATAATAAGGATGAAATACTGGTACTATTAAAATCTATTGCAGAGCTCCCATTGATTTTAATAGGAACTGGATTTGTTCCGAGATACAACATTTAACCTAAAAAATATATGATAGTTTTGATGTCACAAGAAAAATGCAGGTTTTAGTCTTTTTTTCTAATAGGAGAGATTGTGTTTAAATACTAGGTTTCTTTTTTCTTTTTTTATTTTTCTTTAATCACATCTATATTATTGCTTTGAAGTTGACAAATATTTTTTCCATTTCTTAGCCTGGTTAACAAGAAGCTCTTAAGCTTGCACTTAAAAAAAAAAAATAAAAAAAATCATGTATTTGTTTGCATTGTTGATCTGGGAGTAGTTTTTGATGTTTCCATCAAGAGGAGTAATCGTGTGCTTATTCATATTAGCATAACAGAAAATTGAGAGAAATGATGAAAGAATGGAAATTTTGTTTAAAATCTTTTCAATTCAAGATCTCCAGGTGTTATCATTAAGCACCATCCTTGTGTAGAAAGACACCCATAAATTGTTGTTTTGGTACAACAGTGTAAATTTTTCAAACCCAAGAAATTCTTCCTTTTGTATATTAGGGTGGCTGTTTACTGGTTAAACAAGTGCAAAATTAAAATTGCATACTAAACCATCTTCCTTTTTACTTTGAAGGATGAATTCCACTCACGATTGCGTTTTAATCGAAGAGGACTGGTTGCTATGGCAAATGCTGGAGCTCATGATAATGGCAGTCAATTTTTCTTTACACTGGGCCGTGCAGATGAACTTAACAACAAGCACACCATTTTTGGAAAGGTTCGCTATAGAGTTATGACTTGAATCATGGTTTTGACAGAGGCAATTAAATGTACTTCTAAATTCAGAGAATGTTTTTGTATTATCTTAGTACTTCACACAGCTCAAATGCATTTTTGCTACTTTCAAAGTTATTTTAATGTTTAAGAACATCTCTGTTTTTGTCTGTCTCCATGCCTGACATTGATCTCAATTGGTAGTTTCCCTTAATAGTTAATTTTCCATTGCTTTTCTACTAAATTGAACCTTTACGATACACTTTTTCAGAGTAATCTAATAAAATTAAAAGTGCTCTGATTGTTGCATATACACTGTTTTTTCTACTGTTAATAAAATATCAATTTAGAAATACAATTGGAATATCATTATTCAAGAACAACCCAAACAAATGAAAGCAATAAAATGATGATGGTTTCAAGAGAATGTGGAAATTGTCAAGTAGGTTAGCTCTGTAGTCTACAGAATTTTTTTAGTTTTATTTTCAATTCACAGCTCCCATCGCTAACTTTTGTGGCAGTTAAATAGTTCTTAAACACAGAATCGGGTTGCTAAAGAGGAGAGTCTTGTTGCATTTAAAATATCTGTAGCCATATATAATCTATATTTAGATATCCCTCTTTCATATATTCAAAATTATTTGCATAACAATTTCCTTAAATTTTGCAGAATAATTAACAAGCAATCTGAAAATTGATAGGCTTTGAAATAACTAACTTTAAAAAAACTTTTGTGAATTTGCTAGATTACTGGGGATACCATATACAATATGTTACGACTGACTGAAGTAGAAATTGACAAAGAAGAAAGACCACTCAATCCACACAAAATAAAAAGTAGTGAGGTATGTATGCAGTTAATTAAAATATTCTATTTTTTTCTTTGTCTTCAAACAATTATATTCTAGTAGGATGTATTGGCATTAATTTATCTGAGTGGGTTATATATTATTGCTGAAAAAATAAATTTCAAAATAGTGTATTTTTTAAAAACAAGTCTTATTTTTTAAAGACGTAAGCATTCTAAATGACAGCAAAATGCTTATTAAATATTTTTATACAAATATTTAACTCTTTCCTTAGGTTTTGTTTAATCCTTTTGATGACATCATTCCAAGAGCAAATAAAAAGCTGAAAAAGGACAAACCAGGGGAAGAAGTAAAAAAGTCAAAATCCAAAGGCACAAAGTAATTATACTTCATACGTGGGCTTTTCTTGTATTTTATACAGCTCTAATTATAAAATTATTTCAGTCTTGTTCTATGATATGCTAGTGCCCTTGTATAGTACCTTGTATAGTAAATGTGGTACCTGATTTTTTTCAAGATGGGAGTGCATAAAAACTGTGTTAATAGTTTAAGCAATTTGTCCCGTTTCCTTTATTTCTTAATGCTGAATATTATAGTTGGTAAAAAGATTGTTTACATACAGTTAAAGGTATAAGATTTCAGCATTATGTATGCCAAATTACAATAAAAAAAAATACTCTTTAAAGAACAGTAAGGTTGTAAAGTGAAGCAGTTATAAATTAAGAAATGCCAGAATAAAGGGTGCATTTGCAACCTTAATATGGGCCCCTAGTATGTATGCATCATGATACAGTCTCTGGTTTCATGATTATATACTACTTTGTCCAAGACACCGTCACCTCATTCTGTGCATCAGACTGATGGTGTTCTCAGAATGAATCAATACTCTTGTGAGTGACAAAGTTTTCTGTAGGACTCCATATTTGGTGCAGGAATTGGAAAGCGTATAGTTAATAAGGCAAGGGATTGCAAGCAAAATGGTCTTATAGTCAAGGAAATTGAATTCCATTCTGGAGAATTGGATTCTATCCCTGCCTCTGCCACAGAGTTCCTTTGTGATGTTGGGAAAGTCATTTAAACTAAAATATTCACAATTGGCCACTAATTATGTGTTTTTTATTTTCTGGATGTCAAGTGGGAGACATTTGGTGTCAAATTTGCAGAAGTGTAGAGTACTCACATCTGCAACTGAAGTTTGGGAGATGTGTTTTGAATGTATAAAGTGCTATAAAAATGCTATATACTCTGGAAAGATCAGTCCTTCAGCGTCTCAAGTTTAGCACCCAAAATTAGTGGACACTTTTTTGACAATTTTAGCCTTAATATCTTTGTGCCTTGGTTCCCCAACTGTAAAATGGGATGATACCATCACCTAATCTCATAGAATTGTTGTATTGATAAATTCATTAATATTTGTGAAGCACTAAGATACTACAGTAGGAGTACCATATCAACATCGAAGAGAAAATTAATAGTTTTGTATTCAGTGCAGGGTTTGGATGTGGGTATTAAAAAAGGTCTGTGGCCACGTATTTTGAATGAGGAGGATAAAAAGAAATATTGAATAACTAGCTAGCCCTTCAATAAATGAGGTAGGAGTCTTGGGGGGGAAAAAAAGCATGTGATTATGTAATTAAAAATTGTATGATAATGCATATACACAAGGAGGCAAATTAAGTTTGCATGGGCATTAATTCTGGCATTTTCTAACTTACGAGTGCTTTGCAACCGTAACAATCTTGTTACAAGGTTTTTTTTGAGTAAATTCCTAGTTTAAAAAAAAAAAAAAAAAGATACCAGCATGAAAAAAGAAATTCTGTCATGTGGAACTATTGTGTATATTGGGTCATCAGTAAGATTCAGTTAGATCCCAGCACAAATCCCTACCACTTAAGCCACCTGAGTAACTGGTAGTAGTAGAAGCCTGTTATCCTCTGTGTAGATCAGGTGCTTTGGCGGGGGATGACACACACACAATTTGACATTGAGCGCTGGTCTACACTGGGGGGGGGGGATCGATCCAAGATACGCAACTTCAGCTATGCGAATAACGTAGCTGAAGTTGAAGTATCTTGGATCGAATTACCTGGGGTCCAGACGGCGCGGGATCGATGGCCGCGGTTCCCCCGTCGACTGCGCTACCGCCGCTCGCTCTGGTGGAGTTCCGGAGTCGATGGTTAGCTTGTTCGGGGATCGATATATCGCGTCTTAACGAGACGCGATATATTGATCCCGGATAAATCGATTGCTACCTGCAGATACGGCGGGTAGTGAAGACGTACCCTGAGTTTCACATCTATTTGCAGACAGAGAAATGTAGAGATACAGGACTCCTGGTTTGGATTCAATTCCAGGTTCTGGAGGGGAGTGTGGTATAGTGGTGTTAGATTCCTTTTGCTGTTGTGACTGGCCTGTCTCTGTCCCCCTCTCCTCCTGTCCTGTGTTCCGATCCCAGCACCTGCTTGCCTCTCCCTCAGATCCTAACCATTTCCCTGACTAGTTCCCTTCCCCCCACCCCCACCCGCTTGCTCCTGTCACCCGTCTTCCCCTCTGACTCCTGTTATCCCTCTGTTCTTCTTTGAGTAGTGTCCTGTGGGTGCTCCACCTCAGGTGCGCATGCTCCCCCTACATCTGTGATCAGAGATTTTTGGTAGAAGTGCCTGTTTGGCCTGCTCCTGCACCCTACACATCGCTGTGCCTCGTAGTGAGGTTATATTGGGCTGCATGGGCGAATCGCTGTCAATTCATTCTCAGCTGCCTTCACTCTGAGATGAAGCGTATAGCATGCCCTCTTAGTTTCACTTAGCATACTTAGTTAGTTCAGTATACGTAGTTTAGTTTAGACATGTTGTTGTTCTTCCCCATTTGAGGGATTATTTTGGACTTGGTTTTTGTTTCTGGGATATGGTGGGGTCCCCACACTTTAAGTGTTGTCTTTCATGCTGGAAGCTACGCCAATTAGTATGGACAATCTCAGTGTCTCCAGTGTGTGGGAGACACCCATTTACCATCAAAGTGTAAGATCTGTTCTTCATTCAAGAGCAAATCTAGAAAAAACAGGGAGATAAAGTACAAGCTCCTCATGATGGAATTAATCCTGAGACCAACTTCTGACCTGGATTTCAAGAACCCCTGTACATAGTGCCCTGTCTACCTCCGGATTCTGATCACCAAGAGACTCAGTCACTGAGAGCCTCGGGAGATCCAGCATTGTCACTCGTCACAGCAGTACCAAAAGTCCCACACTCTTAAGTCTACAGATACTGGCAGGAGCTCTAGATCTCCTTCCAGGAAGTCTTGGTCACTGGGGACCTCAGGCCCCAAAGGGACTGCTACTGAGGCTCCAAGTTCTTCTGGTACCACAAAGAAGTAACCTGCTTCCAAGAGCCATGATACTACTAAGAAAGGCACAATACTGAATACCTCTTCTGCTTCCAGTGACCGTGCCCATTTTAGTGGACATTCCACTTTAAAGAGGTTGGTGTCATCAGATCCTTCTGTACCTATCCCAGTGCCTCAGACCTTTTCCTCTGAGTCAGGACATTCTTGTTCTGTGCACACAGAACTGGCTGCACTGACTCATATTACCAATGTACCTACCTCAGTACCAATGCTGACTTCTACAGGACTCTGCATGGCTCCTGCTTATTTTCCCCTGCTACAGCAGGAATTTCAATACTCAAGAGTCGTCCTGGTATCAAAGGAGCCAGCACCTCCATTACTTACGAGGACCACACATCTCTCCCTACTAAAGTCTACTGGGTTACTGTCTCAACACTTCTTCTCTTGCTTCTCCGACTTTGACCACCCAGATTGAACAATTATCACTTTCCCTGCACTATGTTGAGGATCTCTCTTTACAGATCTCCTGTCTACTCTGAGTCATTATTCTCCTTCACATACAGAAAAAGGGGAGGATAGGCAACACTGACCTTTGACCACCTGGGGTGATCAACCATGGATGCCTCCTCTCATGCCCTGTGCTCCCTCTCAGTGACCTCACTAGGATCCTTAGGCCCTGTATTGTTAAGGGCACTGAGTCCTCGCAGGAAACAGACACATATTCTCTTGTGCCCTCACTTCCTCCTCTCCAGCCAGAACCCGGAGAGGAGACGTTTGAGGAAAAAGAAGCAAGAGCTGACAAAGCGGTTACATCTCCTACATATATCTCTTCATTATTGCCAGATGAGGTAGTAATGCCTCTACCACAGTCCTTGGCAGATGTGTTTAGACATTTCCAGAAGCTGATGAAGTATATCGCAGATACTTTTCAGATCCTGCTTGAGGAAGCCCAGGACTCCCATCATAAACTGGACATTTTACACACACCAGCTTCTCATGTGGCACTCCCTATTAATGAAGCTTTACTAGAGCCTGCCAAGACAATCTGGCAGACTCCAGCTATGCCCCCTGCCCCCACGCACACACTTGTAAACGTGCCAACCAAAAATACTGTGTGCCAGCCAAGGATTCAGAGTTCTTATTCTCACATCCAACACCAAATTCACTGGTCATGGATGCATTGAATGTATGTGGTAGACAACACAATACGAAATCTACTCCCTATAACAAGGACCAGAAGCGACTAGATCTATTCGATTGCAGGAGTTATTCCTCCACAGTGCTACAGTTCAGAATAGCAAACCATCAAGCGCTCATGTCATAATACGACTGTTTGAATTATAACAAGTTTAACACTTTTATTGACCATTTGCAAGAAGAGCACCACAAGCAATTTAAGGCTATCATACATGAGGGTCAGCTTTTACCAAAGACATTGTTGCAAACCTCCATAGATGCAGTTGATACAACAGCCCGGTCCATTTCTGCTGTGATTGTTATGGGCTGAGCTTCTTGGCTACAGATGTCAGGCTTTCCTAGGGAGATACAGAGCACTGTTGAGGACTTCCCTTTTGATGGTCCACACACTGTTTTTTTTGGAGTCCACTGATGATTGCCTTCACGCTTTGAAGGACTCAGTGGCCACACTTAGATCCCTTGGAATATACACACTTGCAAATAAAAGAAAATTTAGCAGGTTCCAGACATCACAAAGATCTCGCCCAACTCACTTCTCTATTTTCTGTAGATCAACTGACGCTCTGACCAAGAGGCTGAGATATTCCAAGAAAAAGCCTACTATTACCTCTTCTTCATTTTAGCCATCTGAGAAATCCAAGCATTAGCTTTGATGGCTTCATCAAGAGTCTGAACCACCTGCTCCAAATAAATCTGACTCTGCAATGTTCCATCCTCCTTCCCCACTTTGGATACCCCCCTTTTCGCCGTTTGGATCTGCATAGGAGACACTAATGTCCAACCCAGGGGGTATGGGGATTGTACCATCTTGGTTATTCCATCTATTTCACCTCCCATCCCCTTTTTCTGTCTCTTTTCAGAGACCCATCTCACGATTAGTTGCTGAGTTAGGAGGTTGCTTCTCTCCTATGCTTAGCAGCTATAGAACCACTTCCAGTTCAGCACGGGAGGAAAGGTTCTGTTTCAAATATTATCTGGTCCCCAAAAAGAATGGAGGCTGGAGATCAATATTAAATCTCAGATGTCTCAACAACTGCATGAAATAACGTAAATTCAGGATGGTGACTCTTACAGCTATTATTCCCTCTCTAGATATCAGGGGGCAGGTCTACACTAACCCCCCAATTCGAACTAAGGTACGCAACTTCAGCTACTTGAATAACGTAGCTGAAGTTCGAAGTACCTTAGTTCGAACTTACCTCCGTCCAGACGCGGCAGGCAGGCTCCCCCGTCGACTTTGCGTACTCCTCTCGTCGAGCTGGAGTACCGCAGTCGACGGCGAGCACGTCCGGGTTTGACTTATCGCGTCCAGACAAGACGCGATAAGTCGAACCCAGCAGTTGGATTTGCTTGCCGCCGAACTACCGGGTAAGCGTAGACCTACCCAGGGATTGGTTTGTGACTCTCTACCTTCAAGACACTTATTTCCACATTACAATTCACCCCTCTCACAAGAAGTTTCTTTGATTTATAGTCAACCACAACCACTTGCAATACCAAGTGCTCCCTTTTGGCCTCTCCTCTGCCCCAAACATATTCTCAAAGGTCATGGCAGTCCAAGCCGCTCATCTACATTGTGTAGGCATAATTGTCTTCCCTTTTCTCAATGATTAGCCACTCAGGGACTGATCATAAACCGAGGTCCATTGGCAGTACAAATGATGAGGTCTTTGTTTCATACCCAAGACCTCCAGATTAACCATGAAAAGTCTGTTTTGATCTTGGTTCAGTGGATAGATTTTTATAGGAGCCTCGACAGGTTTGCGAATCTGCAGAATCTTAGTATAAAGATTCAATTAAGCCCTCAGACTTCAGCAAGGAATTGTCTTCAGCTGTTGGGCCATATGGTGGAGTGTGTCTTCATGACCCAACATGCCAGATTGCATCTTCAGTATTTCCAGGAATGACTCAGGACAGTCTACATACCAAACAAGCACAGACTTGACAAATAGGTCTCTCTTCCCCTTTGGGTTCTGGACTTGCTCAATTGGTGGAAGAACTCCTCCAAAGTCTGTGTGGGCAGTTCTCTTCTTTCAACCTCCTCTGACTACCGTTATCACTTCAGACAGATCCCTTTTGGGATGGGGAGTGGATCTCAGTCCTCACACCATCCAGGGCAAATGGTCTTCCTAAGAGTCTCCTGCATATCAACATTCAGGAGTTGAGGGCAGTCAGGAATGCTTGCTCCCATTTTCTTTCACTGAACAAAGCCAAATTAGTCAAGATCATGACAAACATTGTGTCCGGCATGTTTTATATCAATCGACAGAGGGGAGCACGCTCCCCCCGACTCTGTGCCAAGGAGACAAAGCTCTGAAATTAGCATGTAACCAACATGATAGCATCTCAACCTCTTACCTCTGGGGTACACAGAACATCACAGCCGACCACCTTCGCAGACGCTTCTCTAAGAGTTATGACTGGAAGTTGGATTCACAAATCCTCCACAGCATATTTCTAACCTAGGGTTTTTCCAGAAGTGGAACTTTTTGCCACTGCTGCCAATGCAAAGTGCAGGAAGTTTTACTCTGGGGGGGAGGATGGGAGAGATTCGTGTCTCAGTCACTGGGAAATGACTTTCTTATTCCATGGGCCAGGAGTCGTCTTTATTCTTGTCTACCAATGCCATTGATCTTGAAAGTTCTCAACAAGATCAAGCAGGACAAGGATTAGGTCATTTGATTGCACTGACTTGGCCAAGGCAGGTTGGTACCCTTACCAGTTCATTTCACTTCTCATCCACTGCTGTGACTTCCAGTTGGTTGCCACCTGTTATCTCAGGGTGCTGGTCGCCGGCCACTTCACCGGCCAATTTGGAAGTTTTGTGACCTCAAGCAAGGCTCCTAGATGGTTCTCGGGATAGAGACTTCCCACTTAACAGAGGTACAACAGGTTTTGTTAAATAGCAGAAAAACATCTACGAGAAGTAGAAATTTCACCTATGGTGTATCTGTCGGCAAGTATCTCTTGACCACGCTTCTCTTTCCACCACCTTGGATTATCTGTTAGAATTAAAAAGATCAGGTATTGTTATGAGTTCTGTCAAGGTTCACTTGGCAGCAATAACAGCCTTTCACTAGTCTGTGGAAGATTTTTCACCACAACTTCAAGATTTCTTAAAGATTTGAATAGTTATCTATAGGTTAAGGAACATACCCCGGTATGGGACTTGAATGTGTCCTTAATTGCCTTATGACACACCTCTTTTAGCCATTAACTACATATTCGCTATTCCACTTGCTCATGAAAACAGCTTTCTTGGTTGCCATCACTTCTACACAGAGAGTGGGAGAATTGAGGGTTTTAATGGCAGATCTCCCCTGCCCCGCAGAGTTCTTCAAGGAACAGGTTTCGTTACGGTCACATCCCAAGTTTCTACTCAGTATCCTCTGAATTTCACCTTAATCAGACCATTCATTTACCATTCCCCCCAAACCACATCACTCCAAACAGAAAGCTGCTTTCCGTAGCTGGGATGCCAGAAGGCATTAGCCTTCTATCTAGAAGGACCAACCATTTTGAAAGTCTCCCAGACTGTTTTGATTGTGCACAGATCTAAAGGATCCACAGGCTCCACCCAAAGTCTCTTGTGGTGGATCTCTGTGTGTATTATTTCATATTATGACTCTGCCAACATTCTAAGGTGCCAGCCCATTCTACAACGTTGCAATCTATGTCTATGGCATTACTGAAGGATGCTCCAGTTGCTGACATTTGCAGAGCTGAAACCTGGATTTCAATACGTACTTTGGTTCATGTCTCTAGATCAGATGTGGCAGTTGGCAGTCCAGTTCTGTCTTCAGTATTGGGTTCTGCTCTGAAGATCCTTCCTTCCTCTGGCGATACTGCTCAGGAGTCACCTGAAGTGGAGAACACATAGGGACGTTACTTGAAGAAGAAGGAGAGGTTACTCACCTTGTGCAGTAACTGGGGTTCTTCAAGATGTGTGTCCCTGTGGGTGCTCCATTAGCTGCCTGCCTTCTCCCTAGTGGGACTTTGTGGTAGATAAGGAACTGAGGACGGTTCACCCACCTAGTAGGGCGCATGTGTGGGCCAAACAGGCACTGCTATCGAGAAAATCTGATGAAAGGCCCAGAGGGTGCATGTGCACCTAAAGTAGAGCACCCATAGGGGGACACATCTTGAACTCCAATTACTGCTCAAGGTGAGTAACCCTCTCTTTCCTCCCCACCCTCTTTTCCTTATCCCGTTTCTATCAGTTGGCTTCTCCTCCTAGATGCCTAGGTACGAGCAGTGTCCCTGCTCTCAGTTCCTGTGCCTTGCACCACATTGGCCTCTTGGAGCCAGGAGGAGCAACTGTGTAAACTGCAATCTTTTCAGAGGCATATAACTTGGCTAAAATTGGGTGAATTTCTGTGAGGACGGCAAAAGACTTGCTCTTGACACTAGGACAACCAACCCCCTGTTATATTTCTAGCTCCTTCTTTAAAGCAAGAAGTGCTAGAGCCTCTCAATAAAATAGTTGTAGGAATTTTTGTAACATGGGCAAAACAATGCTTATTTCCCTATTCTCTTTCTCAGAAATGTCTGGATGATTTTTAGCTGAAATTTACAGCCCACTACACCCTTCCCCCTTTTTCCCCCCCTGCAAAAAAAAAGAAAGAAAGAAATCAGCTTGAGGCAGAATGGAATGGAAAATTTTGGCCCAAAAAGTTGAAGTTTGGCAAAGTTATAAGCAACTAAAAATACCTTTTGTTTAATGGAGGTGAAATAGCAAACATGTAGCTAATGGTTTAAATGAGATCATGCCAGTTATTTACTGGATGTTTTATTTATTGGAATTTTGAAATTTCATATTTATTGTTTGCATGTTCAAAATGTCACTGGATCAAAATGTATTTTTTTGTTTTGTTTTTTAAAGAAATTTTAATTTGCTTTCATTTGGAGAGGAAGCTGAAGAGGAAGAAGTGGAAGTCAACAGAGTTAGTCAGGTACAGTTCCCAATTACTAGTCTCTCTCTCCATCTCCTGTTCTTATTGTTTTTCTTTTGGCAGCATTGTTTTATAGTGATAGTCTATCAGTTTGAAACCTTGAAAGTTGTTCATTTTGTAGTTTTTTCTAGATTTGATCAATAACAATTTAGGGGTAGGGAGGAGTTGCATACTTTAGTTTGCAGCATTCTATTCTCAGATGTTGCAGTCTTTTAAATTAAATTATTTTTTTGTCTTGTGTAATTTTGAATATGATTTTAGTTTTCTCACTTTTATAATTGTTTTGTTGTTTCTATAAACACAGTATTGTTATACTTCATAGCATATTAGTGATTCTGCCATTCAAAGCCCATATATACTGTGTGTGTGTGTGAACTGTGTTAAAAGAAAGTTGTTTAGCTTGCAAAATGAAAAATTCAAAAGTTAGGAAATGTCAGATTTATGGTTGTCTATTTAACCGCAGTTCTATCCCTTTGTGCATCTATCCTGTGCACTGAATGAGGCAGGGAGCCTATGTTAAAAACAGTATGTGATCATGTAATTAAAGGCTATATCATAATGAATATGCAGAAGTAGGCAGAATTAAGGTTACACTGGTACCATAATTCAGGTTTCTCCTGACTTTCAAGTGTTTAGGTGGCAAAGATTATTTAAAAAAAAAAAAAAAAGTTTTGGGTCACTGTCAGGGCCGGCTCCAGGCACCAGCCGACCAAGCACGTGCTTGGGGTGGCACCTGGTAAGGGGTGGCCAATCTTGGGCTGGCGGGGGGCGCTCAGGGTTTTTTGTTTTTTTGGGGGGGGGGGGGGGGGGGGCGCGGGGGGGGGGGGGGGGGTTCGGCGGCGCTCGGCGGGGGGCTGGGGCGTTCGGCAGGGGGGTTCGGCAGCGCTCCGCAG